ATTGGAGGGACATTAATCCCGAAGACTTGCCAAATTTCTTAACCTCCTATGAATATTCCAAAACTGGAACTCCTCTTGTTGTTCTCTTTAACAAAGAAGCACCCTCCCAATACTAATGTAAATTCACTGACACCTCTTAATGAGAAAATACATTTGACTGCGACTTACAGAAGAGATTCCAATATTTATGCTCCATATGGAAGAATTGAAAAAAGAACAAAACCCTTCAAAATGCCAGGTGTGTAAATTAACGAATAATACTACCCATAGTTCGATTTAAAATGTTGCTTCTTTTTAAGAAATATAGATTAATTTGCTTTTTAAAAAGAGAGAGATGGTATATTGAGCACATTTAAGCTTCTTTAAAATATAAATTATAATATATTATGTATAGACATTCATATAAGGTTTCATTGAATATATGTGGCCGCGGTAGCCGAGTGGTATAAGTATCGGACCGTGGCTTGCCTCGTCACGAGTTCGAGCCCCGTACCACTAAAGACCCGACGTGTAGGGCAGCGATGCACGTTAAATCTGTCGGGAGCTGAAACGTCCTCCCGTTGGTGTGGTAGTTAGGAGAGGGGGGTGCCAGCTCAGGTGTCGTCCACGTCACTTGACTATGGTTCAAAATTACGTGGTCCGTCGCCAAAAGCCTCGTGTAGCTGAACAGTGCGACGTTAATATTCAATCAATCAATCAATTCATTAAGTATAGCTTCATGTAATTAAGACATTCATATAATTATACTCATATAATTATTTTAATATATTTTACGAAAACCCCTAGATATTTAACTATAAAAGAGCATTTTGACCTTTTTTGTTCTCCTAAAGAGTCTAATTTCACTTACATAAAACGGTTTAGCTAGATGATATCCAACTTTTAGAATAAGATCTAACTTTTACAGTTTTAGAGTTTGTGGTAAAATAAAATGAGAATACCGAGAAGATTTGACAATCTAAATATCTTTAAATGTTTATTATTAATTATCCGAGTCAATATCTTATACAATGTCTATAACATCATGTTCCACATGGTATTAGAAACTAAATCTTGAACTCTTTTTGAAATGCGTACTTGAAGTAAGTCATGCAGTTCGGATTGCCAGGGATGATTGCGGGTATAAGTGTTTATTAACGCCGCAATATAAAACAACATGAGGGCTACTGGCGACGGATCTCGTAATTTTGAACGCAGGTCAAGTGACGAGGAAGACACCTGAGCTGGCATTCCCTCTCCAAATCACCACACCATCGGTAGGACATTTAGCCACGACAGATTTAACGAACTCTAGGGCTCGAACACAAGACACGTCATCCACTAGTTTTCCTCATGACCACTAGGCTACCGCTGCCTAATTGCAAGTATGAGATGAATTTTTTGATTGTGCTTACAAGAATCGCACGTCTCTAACGTGTTCTTTTCCGAGTCTAGCTAAAGTATATTGAAACGTTTTGGAACAGAATACATATTCCTCAAATTCCTTGATAGAAAAGAGATATCGATGATTTGTTTTATTTGTACAAGAATTGAATTCCAAAGTTGATTAGTTCACAGTATGTTATAATATTTAAGGCTCTTCTGTATAAGCTTTTTTTTATCTTGCGGCTACACAATATCCTATATACTTCATAAATAACGAAAAAAGTTTTTTTTGCATTTTCTTGAGGCCCATATCAGTGGTAAGTTTGTCACCAAATTTCAGATCTGATAACAAATTAAATTTTAAGACATTTGAAGCTTTCTGAGCTTAGCTTTTGATTTCGGTTTCATTTTAAAGCATTTTTACACCCTTACATTGAATTAATTAAAAATATTTTTGAGCACAATCAACTCTTTCAGAGTGAAAAGTCAATTTCAAGGCCAATTTTTGACCTTGTAAACCTTAGCCTTTTATTAATAACTTAGAAGCTTTATCAATAATTTTTTCCTATTAAGAAAATGCCATGGCCAAAACGTTCTCAGGTTGCTATGAGAAACAATATTTCGACGAGATGGAATACTACTGAAAATGATGTGTCTAAAAATCAGCCCTGAGTGTATTACAAGAATTGCAGATAAAATTGAATATTGGTATGATGTACCAAACTACAGTAAAATAAAATTTTGATTCTATAAAAGTTTTCTTTTTAATTATTTTTTGCCCCACTCCCTTAAAATGTTTGTCCTAAAAATGCCTGATTCAGATACTTTTTTATAAAGCTGTAACAGATTCAAAATCTCTTGGATATCAATAAGTTCGATTTGAATACTGAACAGAAACCTGCATTTAAAAATTAAAATTAGTATTACTTGTCTTCATGAAGAATAAACCAATTGTCTTACCAGAGTGTCGTTTGTTTAAATCCCTTGCACACAGAAATACGCGCGGATGATTTTAGCATGTCTCCAATACCGAATTTCTTTAAATGGGATGCCTCAAGAAGTACAATATCTTACAGTACCATGGGGTGTGATGCCCGAAGTGGTTTGTCTATTTTATTATTTTCAACGCATGGCTTAAGCTTGTGTCAACACCACCTTTTTATTATAAAAGCTCGCACCAGCGAGCGGTACTCCTCAACGCCAGGTTCCTAGAGCACGCTTGTATTTTAAAAAGGTTGCATATTTAGGTCGCCCTATAAAACATTCCGTTCGGGTTACCAGTTATAATGTTGAGTAAATTAAAGGAAAGTAGCTACTGCGTGTACAAATAAGGAAAAAGTTAAATGCTTAAGCAACACCAAGATTATTAATATATATATATATATATGACAGGCCCAGGCCTGCTGGCAAAATGAGGAGGACATCATCTTTAAAATAATTTCTTTATTTCGCTTCAATCACATGAAATCCAACATGGCAGCCCTTTGGTGCGCAACCGAGTAGAACAATAGGCAACACTTCGGCGAGGAGTCACCCGCTAATCCTTCTCTAGCATGCGCTCTCCTTTTGTCAGCACTTACTCTACCTTTAAATAGGCTTATTTACCCACAAATTCCTACGCAAAAGTAAGGAATTCGCTCTATTTTTATTTATTACTTACTTAATTTTGAAGCTAAACTTTTCAAACCTGACATATATATATATATATATATATATATATATATATATATATATATATATATTTACCTTTATAAAATATAATAATGCTCAGAAACCAGGCAATGAGGAGTGCCGTGAAAATGTTGGTGCGAACTTTTATAATAGAAAAGGCGGTGTTGCCACAAATTTAACCTATGCGTTGAAATAATAAAATAGACAACCACCGTGCGGCACCACAGCAATTAAGATTCCCATCTGCCTTGCATTTTGAACTCGGTGAACTTAATTCTTCATATCTAGACTAGCGAATCGATTTAAATGCAATAAAGTACACTCACGAAAGAGTTAAAAATAATAATAATAAAAATAAAAATTCATCTGAAATTACATCCCTCCTCTGTATTTAAAAATATTTTACGCAAATTTTAGTTATTCATTAATGGATTTTAAAATTTTTAAGAAAGATTTAAAAATGTTTTAAAGATTGTGGGAGGGAGAGGGAATATAATTTCATTGAAATCTTTATTATTTTTTGCTCTTTCCAATGTAATTAATTACATTCATATCAATGCACTAGCCTACATTTAAAGAGGAAAGTAGGATTAACAGTTTCACGTATTCAAAATAACCGGTAGAGGGGAACCTTAAAATTTTTTTTTCTCTCTTCTGATTTTATGATGGAAATTTATATTTCTGTATTTTATCTGTCCTTCATTAATTTCCACGTGCACTTGTCGATGAACTGAAGTTTTATCATGTTTATGAGCTAAGATGGATAAGTTAAAGCATGGCCTTGAAAGTTCTATTTAAAGGAAGCTCTCCTTCAATGCAGGGTTTTCGCATTCTGACAATTATTACAAAATATGCGTTCAAACTTCTTTTGAAATAATATTTTTTAAAGTAAACATGCATGATATTTTTTTACTCAAGAACTAAAAACACACTGAAATATTATTATACTTTAAGGTATCGACTACGTTCGGAACCATGATTTTAAAAAAGCGCATAAATATAGTTTTCATGATATTTAGTGTCACTTAGATTAGAGAATACATGTATAAAATTGTTTTAAGGACATTTTAACAAAAACAAATTATTTAAATACAATATTTCGGCAAAAAATTAACTTAGAATAACCTTTTTTTCAAAATGTTTTCCTTTTGTTAAAAATGCTTCTATTATAATAATATTTTGCCTGTATATAGCTCAGACCTCTGTACAGAGGCTCAACTATGAATTTTGAAAAATTCACATTATTTTCAGAGTTACAACCATTTCAAATAATTATCGGCGTTTTTTTTCTTAAAATTTCTCCCCTCTGTTGTCGTAAAATATGAATAAACCCACTTCTAAATTATATATTTCAAAAATTCTATATGAGCCTATGTACAGAGGTCTGAGCTATATACATGCAAAATATTAATACAATAGAAGCATTTTTTACAAAAGGAGAACATTTGGAAAAAAGGTTATTCTAAGTTAATTTTTTACCGAAATATTGTATTTAAATAATTTTTTGTCATAATATATCCTTAAAACAATTTTATAGATGTATTCTAATCTAAGTGACACTAAATATCATGAAAATTATCCATTTATGCGCTTTTTTAAAATCATGGTTCCGAACGTAGTCGGATACCTTAAGGTGGTTTTTATTTATAAATTGTTATATTCCAAATTTGAATCAGACTGTATTTTGTTTTGAGGATAAATAGAAATAAACAAGTAATATAAAAAAAAAATGTAAGTCAATTCCTACTTTGGCCAACATAGAAAAATTTTATTTTAGTTTCTTTTTATTGAACCAGTATATACAATATTAAGTATCAAAAAAGAAAGCGATTTTCCTTTTTATATATCGCGCGTGTTGGACTATTATTTTTGTGTTTGTTACTATTTACTCATAAATTAAATTTAATTACTGCAATAAAGCTGTATAGTAAGGAGAAATCACATTCTGAGAAATTAGGTGGGATTCTCCCAGTTGGAATTCGAACCCACGAACTTTGGATTAGAAGTCCAACGCGCTACCCATTACACTACAGGGATACAACGAGCGATTTTCCTTTTTGTATATGGTGTTGAACAATTATTTCTGTTTGTTACTAAGTATTCATTTATTAATGAATTAATATTTGAAAAAAACTGTATTAACATCAAGTGTCATCCACTACAAGTTTAAAAAAATGTATTTGAACTTGAATGAATGAATGAATAGAAAATATTTTATTAACGACTGAAAATTTGACCAAGATATATAAATAAATAAATATAGGAAGAATGTGAAATAATAGTAGGAATTGAACACAAGGAATAAGTTAAATTCTTGTAAGCAACGCATTTTACTTTCAACATTGTAGAAAAATTCAGTAAAAAATATTAGTCTCAGCAGTGACAACTCATTCATTGCGTTTGAGATTGAATTTATGATATAATATAAGTTGAATTAAATTGCAAAAATCGAATCTTATAGAAAATATTTTCGCAAGAGAGAAATATAGATCAATACAAATGAAATCCTAAATGCAAAAACAGAAAAAGGGGGAAATAAGTAGAATTTAGATTTACAAAAATATTGTTTTTAAATATAAAAAATTTCAAAACATAATTTGTAAACGTTTGTTTGCAATTTTGGCCACTTATGTAGTGTATTGTTTATATAGAGGGTGATGCTTTTCAAATTCACCTGTAGCTCGATCTAACAACCGAAATTTCACGAAACTTGGTATGATAACGAATAATGACGGCAACAAATTAAGTTCAAAAACTCGCCAATAGGGATATTCATAACGCTATACAATGTAAAAAGTGCTTCCTCGCCACAGGTCCAGGGTTCAAATCCCGGGCAGGGTAAAGTTGACTCAGTCTTTCATCTCTTCAGTGCGTAGATAAATGAGTACCAAGCTTGCTTGGGAACTGAACACTGGGGTTTCGCGTCAGACTGACCACTTGACCGAAATATCTGCACCTCAGCCTTGTACTCATGAGCTGTTGCGCCACCGAGTTTAGAGTTGTACTATAGTGTTCGAATTAATGGGGACAAACATTTTTCTATGCCAATACATGTCAATAGTAATGCATTATCGTTGTATTTAATAAATTGTACAACACTGCTCATGTTTGTAATATTAATATCTTTTTTTATTATTTTTCCCTTAGCATTCAACCCTGACAGGAGCAGTGTATGCTGGTTGGTCAGCCATTGCCAAACTAACAGCAAAAGAGAAGAATACGTGCAAATTCTAAAACAATACATCGACGTAGAAGTGTATGGAAAATGTGGAGACAAAAGCTGCCCACACAAGCTTGTAATTGATTGTTACTCTTGGATGGCAGAACGATGCATGTTTTATCTGTCTTTTGAAAATTCAGTTTGCAAAGACTATTCCACAGAAAAACTTTACTACGCTCTCATGACGGACATGGTGCCTATTGTAATGGGTGGGGATGACTATGCGAAACACTTGCCTCCACATTCTTACATCGATGTGGCGAATTTTTCTAGTCCAAAACAATTAGCTCAATATCTTCATCAAGTGGGTCGAACTGAGTCAAGCTACTTGTCCTATTTCAAATGGAAAGAGAAATGTGAGGCCACTTTCGTGCCATATTATTGGTTTTGTGATTTGTGTTATGTGTTGCATTGGCCCGAGGCTAAGACGTTCATTCCACATGCAGATATATCATCTTGGTGGTTTGGCGAATCAAAGTGTGCTTTTGTGGATTAAATTGATTGTTAGGGACTAGATAGTAAGACCTAAACATTTTCCTGCAAATTTCCCTAAGGAACGCACTTTTCTTGATGACTGCAACGAAATTATTTGCACTTAGGATCATAGAAAAAAATTTCATTTGTTACTTACTGTTTTTTTATGTAGCATAATTACATGTTCAGTTTTTATTTACAGTGCCTATAATACATCTATGTATTTTTATCATTATGTACCATTATTATAGTGCATAGTCTGAGTTCTGTTTTATCTGTAATTTTTTATAACACTTTGAAATTAAAATATTGTTACCTAGATCCGAGGGTTCGGGGATTTTATGCAAAAAACAATCACAAAGAAAATAAACAGTTCATTAAGAGCGATGCGAATTTATTATCAAAAATCCAATCCTTTAAATACAGGATTCAGCAGCGATATTCACAGAGTAAATATCCAAAGATCTTCACACCTTCAACAGAAATCAAACACAATAACAGTGTTTAAAAATACACGTAAGTAAAGATTATTCACAAGCACAGCCGAGCTAATCAAAACAATCCTCACTACTGGCTGGTTTAATCCAGACTCATCGCCGTTCAGGCGAGCATCTTTTTATAAGCGCGACAGAAACTTCCAGAAATATATATATATATAACAGCTCGTGTCATTGAACGTGACACAAGTGGAGAGATCTACTACTTTCTAGAAGATTCCAGAGGGTTCCGAACTCGCCAACATGGTCTCCAAAGTCGCCAACTTGGTCGCCAAAAATGATGCCAACTTGGCTCTACCGCCAAGATTTCGCCAAGTTCTCATTGAATTGTCATTATAACGTAAGGGGAGGCATTGCTTGTGAATGGTACAATTTTAACATGAAATAAACATAACATAGAGTAATATAAATGCATTAAACACTCAAATACAAATTATTTACACTATTTACACAAAATTCATAACAATATTGTTGAAAAATATGAATGACGAGTTTCGACCTGTTAAATGGAATTTGGTCTGAAATCAAAGAGATTCATACGAAAACAAATATTTAAGTTAATTATTGGTTAAAATCCTATTTTAGTCCACACCTTTGGCAAATAAAAAACAAAATGCGTCGACAGCTCGGCTTTCTGTATTGGATTTCTATCCAATGGGAGAATAATAATTCGCCAATTTGGCCATTAATAAAGATGTGGGCTGAAATAGGATCCAACTCAGTATTGTTTAAAATTGGGATTAATTATTAAACTATCGTATAGATAAATTTGAAACAGTACGAATGGCTGGAGAAAAAAGGACTAACGACTGAATCCGTTGAATGAAACTATTATTCGAACACATCACTTTTTTTTACTAACACTGAAGTATTAATTAATGTAAATTTAATTTAATTTAATCAAAATTAATGTTGTACAATATCCAAGACTTCAAATTAAAAGTAAGAAGTTAATAATTAATGGTAGCATACCATAAACCGAAAAACATCTTAAGCGAAAACAGTAAAACCACATTTGAACGTTTTCGTAAAGATCTATAATATATACTTTTTAAAAATATTTTTACTGACAGTACATTATTGTTTATTAAAGCGTTTCATTTTTTGTCATTAATTGCACCAATATGTCCGTTAAACTTTAAGATATTTTTTTACCATTTTTTCAAAACAATAATGTGTAAACAAATTTTAAGAAACTGTTTCCTTTCTTCATTGTTTAAATCAAAAGCTACCACAATTCTTAACCGAATTGATTTCAAGTCAACGTATTCTCTCACACACAATATTTTTCAATATTTTTCTTACTCATCGTATGTGAGAATCGTTATAATACTCATTTATTCATTAAAATTTACATATTTAGAATATTATACGTCTTATTAGCTGATTTTATTGTTCGATAATCTCGAGAATTTGTCAAGCTGAATAATGAGATCTGTTGTAAATAATATGTAACTTCTTTTCCTGTAAAACATTATATGGTATGATTTGGAAGTTAAAGTTGGAACTATGTTGAAAGTCACAATCGTTGAGTGTTGCCTTAGTTTGCCTGCACTATGTTCAAATCGAAGTTCCCTAAAAGTTATTCAGTTTGTTAAATTGTTCAAAAACAACTAAAAGCATTTAAAAATATGAAAAGAACGTAATTAAATATTAAATACCAATTATAACACTGTCTATGACGCTTAATTAAAAAGTTAATTCATCACGGCATTCCAATACTTCTAGTCCAGGGGGAAAGAAACCGTACAAAATTTATCCGATTGTAATTAAAGTAAATGTATATACTGTTATCAATGTATTTTTCTCTCTAATCCTCTGTCTCTCACAGACTCGGATTTATTTGATTTTTTAATTTGTTTGAGAACAGCAACAAAACTAATAAATAAATAAAATACACGTATTTCTGAATTTTTAGATTTATTTTTAATTATTATTTATGGAAAAAAACAAAACAGTCAGTCCGCTGCCTAAAGGCAACAGTGTGAGTTAATGCAGTGCTTCCCAACCTTTTTATCTCCACGGACCGGTCAAAGTTTGATAATTTTACCGCGACCCGCTGTGGTTGATTGATTGAATATTAACGTTGCACTGTTCAGCTACACGAGGGCTTTAGGCGACGGACCACGTAATTTTGAATCATGGTCAAGTGACGTGGACGACACCTGAGCTGGCACCCCCCTCTCCTAACTACTACCACACCACACCAACGGGAGGACGTTTCAGCTCTCGACAGATTTAACGTGCATCGCTGTCCTACACGGCGGGTCTTTAGTGGTACTGGGCTCGAACTCGTGACAAGACAAGCCACGGTCCGATACCTATACCACTCGGCTACCGCGGCCGACCCGCTGTGGTAGGACGTTGACTGTTTACATTTTAGGTTGCTTTGATTTAATAATTTGTATTTAATTGTACTGAAATATGCCTTCAGAATAAAATAGAGTTACACCAAAAAATGAGTGTAAAGTGAGATTTAACATAGAATATATAAAGTGATTTCCATGGAAAGTCTCACAGACCGAGAAAAATACACAGCAGTAAATAAAATAGAAATAATTTAATGTTCTTGGGCCGTCAGTACCATTTGATCCATGGACTGGTACTGGCCCGGTGGTTGGGGACCACTAAGTTGAGGGATCACATGTTACGAACGATGGATATTTCTGATACAATTTTGAAGCGCTGTGGAGCAATTCTGAACAATATATTATTATTTTTTGAAATCGCAGCTGATTTTCTTAAATACAGATAGTCGATTAACTAATTTCAATTAGCGAAAAATAGCACCGTCTTGTTGTTTTCTTTGGAACAGTTCGTTAGATCAGAGCATAGAATACGGGCAA